GTGAAAAATGCTATTGGTATTTTGATAGGGATTACATTAAACCTGTAGATTGTTCAATCCATGAACATGGAATATCTTTCTATTTGTGTCATTTTTTTTTTAAGATTTTATTTATTTATTTGAGAGAGAGAGAATGAAAGAGAGAGAGAGCACATGAGAGGGGGAAGGGTCAGAGGGAGAAGCAGATTCCCTACTGAGCAGGGAGCTTGATGCGGGACTCGATCCAGGGACTCCAGGATCATGACCTGAGCCAAAGGCAGTTGCTTAACCAACTGAGCCACCCAGGTGCCCTATTTGTGTCATTTTGAATTTCTTCAGTGTTTTGTAGTTTTCAGAGTACAGGTCTTTCATCTCTTTGTTTAAATTTATTCCTGGGTATTTTATTATTTTTAGATACAATTGTAAATGGGATTTTTTTCTTAATTTTCTTTCTGCTGCTTCCTTATTAATATATAGAAATGCAACAGATTCTGTACATTGATTTTGTATCCTGCAACCTTACTGAATTTCTTTATCAGTTCTCATAGTTTTTGGGTGGAGTCTTCAGGGTTTTGTATATATAGTATCATGTCATCTGCAAATAGTGAACAGTTTTACTTCTTCCTTACCAATTTGGATAACTTTTTTTTTTTCTTGTCTGATTGCTGTGGCTAGGACTTCCAGTACTATGTTGAATAAAAGGGGTGAGAGTGGACAGCCTCGTCTTGTTCCTGAACTTAGGGCAAAAGTTCTCAGTTGTTCACCTTTGAGTATGATGTTAGCTGTAGGTTTTTCATTTATGGCCTTTATTATGTTGAAGTATGTTCCTTCTAAACCTACTTTGTTGAAGGTTTTTATCATGAACGGATGAGGTACTTTGTAAAATGCTTTTTCTGTATCAATTGAAATGATCATATATTTTTTATCCTTTCTCTTGTTGATGTGATGTATCACATTGATTGCAAATATTGAACCACACTTGCATCCCAGGAATAAATCCCATTTGATCATGGTGAATGATTTTTTTAATGTATTATTGATTCAGTTTGCTAATATTTTGTTGAGGATATTTGCATCTATGTTCATTAGAGATATTGGCCTGTAGTTCTCTTTTTTTGTAGTGTCTTGATCTTGTTATGGTATCAGGGTAATGTTGGCTTCATAAAATGAATTTGGAAGCTTTCCTTCTTCTATTTTATGGAATAATTTGAGAAGAATAGCTTTAACTCTTATTATTTAAATGTTAGGTAGAATACATATATTAGAATTTTTTTAACCCTTAAAAACCTGCATTTTTAGTGAAAATAAAGAACTGAACAATTATGAACTGCCTTTTGTATTAGCATTCTGTGGCCTGGCAAATTTATGATTACTTTTTATAATTTTTGGAAACATATGCTTTCTCATAGTAAATTTCTCAGCATGGCACAAAACATGTTTATGAATACATCCAAATATCTTTAGTTCCTGTGTAAAAGGAAGCAAAAAGTGGGTAAACCTATGTTCAGTAATTAATATTTAAGTATTTTATCTTAGCTGGAAATGATCTGGATATTTAATGAATTTAACTCATTCTTTAACTTAACCTAGCAAAATTTAAGGCTTCAGGTTACCAAAAAGATTTGGGGGAAACTATTTAAAAATTTCACCTAAGGGGCACCTGAGTGGCTCAGTTGGTTGAGTGTCCAATTCTTGGTTTTGATTCAGGTCATGATCTTAGGGTCTTGGCATCAAGCCCTGTGTTGGCTCTGCACTGAGCATGGAGTCTGCTTGAGATTCTCTCCCTCTCCCTCTGCTCCTCCCTCCGCTCACAAGTGCAGGCACGCGCTTGTGAGCACTCTCTCTCTCTAAAATAGATAAATAAATAAAATCTTTAAAAGAAGTTCATCTAAAACTTTTTTATCCTACTTATATCTATTTAATTTACTTGTTCTTAACAATTATGCTTAGCCTATCCACACAAACTTCTTGAGATATTAGACAGTCAGCCATCACACCAACCTCTTTTTCTTGCAGACAAATTTTGTAAGAGCTAACATGAACTCATTTGATCTTTAGTAACCCTAGATAGAATAAAAGTATTATATTTAATGCAGCTAACCCTAAATATGTATCTATTTTAACTAAACCAAGCAACTTAAACTGGCTTCAGTATATTTTCCCAGATCATAAGAACCTGAAAAGCATTTGGGTTAATTTTTATTCTATTTCTGAAAATTTTTAGGAATACTTAATTTATATAAACAGATTTCTTTAAGCCAATTAAATGAGTTCTTTTACAGATTAATTTTAGTATACCATCTGGAGGTAGGAAAATGCCACATATTTATAACACATGTGTATATATAGACATACAAATAGACAGAAACAGAGATGTTATAGCTTCCGTTTTAAAATTACTGCCATGAATCAGGTACAATAATATAAAACTCACTAGTTATAAGAAGAGTTGGGTATAAGTCATATTTCTGGTAGATGGAATAAATTTATGCTACCTGCTCAGATGGTTAAAGCTTTTTTAAAACCAATATTTCTGGAGAAGACACTTAAAGCCGTTTTCATTTGTCTAAGTTTCAAATGAGCTTTCCCTCTTTCATTCTTCTTCTGATAAAAATTACTTCCCTCAAGTTTGTACTTTATAGAAATGGCCTAGATAAGTTAACATTTACATCACACAAAGACATAGAAAAAGAATACATGCTTCCCCAAGAAGGACTTTGGCTTTGTGAGGCCAGTATTTATAAACCTTTTGACATAAATTGGGGAGATTTGGAAATCGGTAAAAAGGAATAGGTAAATTTTGAACTGCTTCTAGAGAGGTATTTGTAGTTTCCCAAAGATTTGTAAGATAAGGACAGTTGCTCTCAATTCTTCAAAGAATTAGGTTGCAGCCTAAATGACATCCTAGGTCAATTCACCCATCCAACTAGTTATCTTTGATTTGCTTCACCATTCAACCTTGGACCACTTTACCCTAGGGGGAAAAGGCTCTACCATTGCGTCTGTCAGCCCCTGAACATCGATCTTCAGCTGATCATTGTAGGAAGGCCTAGGAGAAATTCTGGTCATCTGCTTCCTCTGTCAATGGCGGCGGCGGTGGTGGCGGTGGGGTGGAGGGGTTCCTCAGGGAACTGTCTGGTTTGTTTTAACTACAGTATAACTATGGGTGGGAAGAACACCCCTTAGCAGATAATCAAGGTCCCTGTGAGTAGAGTTGTGAATGGCCACTGATCTTTCCAACTCTTCTCTAAATTCGGTAGGAACTTTTGAAAATGGAGATGAAGTGGGGCTTTATAATTTAAAAGATCTGATGCTGTCCAGAGGACATGGATTCTTTGTAGTGGGGTTCCAGGATACATCCACAAAGGACATTGCATAGGAAGGTCTGAAGCTGGCAGAACCAGATTACAGAGCACTGGAAAGTAGAAATTGTGAGAAACAGCAAAGTGAGCCCTGTCTCAGATGCTTCTACTAAATTCAATTTCTGGCTTTCAGCATTTACATGAGTACTTATATATACCCTGGGCCTGAAGATTAGGTTGAAGTGCTCTCTGCAAATCTTGTAGGGAAAGGGAAGTTAAAACAGGCAGATGGGGCCAGATTTTAAGAAGGGGAATTTACACTGGATGTGGACATTATTTTTTGTTCTAATTTCTGTTCTTTCATCTTGTTAAGGGAGTCTCTAAGCCTAGCTGTAATACTCCTTTGTGTCGTCTCTTTAATTTGGTCTTTCCATCAGTACTGATAATACAATTGTTTAGAATGAGAGCTCTCTAAAATTTTTTTCTTTCAAAAATAGCCAAGGGGAGCCTGGGTGGCTCAGTCCTTAGGTGTCTGCCTTCAGCTCAGGTCACGATCCCGGGGTCCTGGGATCAAGCCCTGCATTGGGCTCCCTGCTCAGAGGGAAGCCTGCTTCTCCCTCTCCCACTCCCCCTGCTTGTGTCCCCTCTCTCGCTGTGTCTCTCTCTGTCAAATAAATAAATAAAATCTTAAAAACAAACACACAAACAAACAAAAACAAAAATAGCCAATTCAGAGGATTCATCATCTGGCCATTGACAAATAGAATCTTCATCTCAATAGTGACTTAAACCAATATGCCTTTTTACAGCTCAACCAAGAACGTAAGAGGCATTTCAAGGGGCAGTGCAAAAGATACAGCCCTCACAGGATCCAGGAAGTTCAGTCCCAGAGTTAGCCTAAGAAAGCAGAGGCATTCATTGTCACAGGTGGTAAGAATGGTAGAGTGAAAACAGTATCTCCGGTTTTCCACAAAAAACAGATACTGTTTTTCCACAAAAACCAGTATCATCCGGAGATGCCACTGGTCACAGACTTGCTATCTGTGACACAGGCAGATGCTACTGGAATGGGACTTTTCTAGCACTACCAAGGCAATGAAGCTTGAGATGACAAAGGCGCCTTATGGACTAGACTTCTTATAACACAATCTTCTGAGAGCTGGCATAGTTGGACAAAGGGAATCCTGCCTCACACTGGACCCAATTCAGCTCAGGTCAGACCCAGTATGGTTTTTCATATTGGATCCACAGCCTATTTGGTTGTCTGCAAGATACATATTGGTACATGCATCCTGTAATTGTTGGAGATCAGACAGAATATTCTCATTCATCATAAAGCCAAGCTCTCAGGACATGGAACATGATGACAGAAACAAAAGAAAATAATGACCATCTCTGGGAGGAAAGGGATCAATAGAAATCAAGATTACTCATACCAAATCTTTACCAGAGTCACTACACCCAAGGAACTTAGTTCACACAAGTATTTTCTCCTGCTAGTCTATGTTTAGAAAAAGAAAAGGACACCTGGCTGGCTCAGTTAGAGGAGCATGCGACTCTTGATCTCAGGGTTATGAGTTTGAGTCCCACGTTGCGTATAGAGATTACTTAAAATCTTAAAAAAAAAAAAAAGAAAGAAAGAAAAGGACTCTTGTCACTCTTGATTCCAACAGATCCTTCAGGCAGAGATTTGGGAGACTGACATGTAAGGACTCTTACCTTCTGCTGGCTTTTTTCAGGGATCCTAGGATTTCTCAGTTGCAGCAGCCCCAGAGTGAGCAAGGTCCAGCCGGTGGAAGTCCCTTCATGATTGCCAACTGTAAGAGTGGAAAAATTTCTCCTTCTTCTCTTTTAGGTTCTTCAGCTGGTCTGATAATCAAATTGACATAAGACAGATAAACAGGACAAAAAGAAGTTAAATTTCCTATATGCCAGAGCCCCAAAGATCTGAGACTCAAGGGCCTGTCAGGGAGTTGAGGCTTACATGCCATCCCCAGCTGAGGAATGGGATAGTGGCCCGGGGCTTCAAAGGGGAGGAGGGTAATTCACAGGACGATAAGAGAAGCCTGTTTGGTAATTAACTGTCGTCCTGCCACACAGTAAGTCTTCCAGACAAAAAGCTGTCTCTGGTCATAGCTGTCTTTCTGGGCCAGGCCCCCTATGGAAATTCTTTTAGATAGTTAAGGGAGAGGTAGAAGTTTGTCTTGGGTCTGTTGGGTCTTGATTGACTTCAGCTCAAAATTACCCACATGACAAAGTGGCACATTCTGGGGTGGCATATTCTACTCTCCTTCAAAGGCTTTCTCAGTCCTTGTGTGCTTATAGGAAATTATAACCATTTTGGGGTGCTCTGTCTATAAGCCATAGAGGCACCATGGTTGAGGCAGTGGTTACCTCACCTTACTTGCCATATTACACCCTTGAGAAAGATCTAGAGAAGTGCTACTCAGAGTACAGTGTACACTCTGGGCTACAGTTCTTTTTTTTTTAATTTAAATTCAAACTAGTTAACATACAGTGTAGTATTGGTTTTAGGAGTAGAATTTAGTGATTCATCACTTACATATAACACCCAGTGCTCATCCCAACAAGTGCCCTCCTTGATACCCTTCACCCATTCAGCCCATCCTCCCACCCACCTCCCCTCCAGCAACCTGTTTGTTTTCTATATTTAAGAGTCTCGTATGGTTTACCTCCCTTAGAGTTAGTTCTTGAACTAGTATTACCTGTGTCCAGATAATCATAGAAATTGAGAACAAGCATTTAGAAACTTCTGTAGCAGTTTGACAGAATAATGTGTCTGTTGAATTTAATAATAAAAGTGTCAGCTTGTATTTTGCTGTCTGTTTTTTTTTTAAAGATTTTCTTTATTTATTTGAGAGAGAGAGAGAGTGAAAGCAGTGAGAGGGGGAGGGGAAGGGAACACAGTGGGGTACAGAGGGAGAGGTAGAAGCAGATTCCCTGCTGAGCAAGGAGCCTGATGCAGGGTTCGATCCCAGGACCCCAGGATCATGACCTGAGCTGAAGGCAGATGCTTAACTGACTGAACCACCCAGGCTCCCCTGGAGAGAATTCTTAAGATTTAAAAAAGAGTCAAATTCTTCATGACACTGAATTTCCAGTGGTCTTGGATATGATATCAAAAGCACAGACAAAATGGCAAAAATAGACAAATGGGACTACATCAAACTAAAACTGTTGTGCATCAAAAGACAGAGTCAAAAGAGTGAAAAGGCAACCTACCAAATGGGAGATAATATTTGTAAATCATATACCTGAACTATCTGACCAGGGATTAATATCCTGAATATATAAAGAACTCCTACAACTCAACAACAAAAATATCAAATAACCCAATTAAAAAATGGGCAAAGGATTTGACTAGACATTTCTTCAAAGGTGATATACAAATGGCCAATACACATATGAAAAGATTATTGGCATCACTAATTATTAGGGAAAAGCAAATCAAAACCACATTGAGATATTAACCTCACACCCATTAGGATGGTCACTATTAAAAAACAAAAAACAAAAAACAAAAAACAAAAAACAAAACCCAGGAAATAACAAGTATTAGCAAGGACATGGAGAAAATGGAACCTGTTGGTGGGAGTGTAAAATGGTGCAACCGCTGTGGAAAACAGTATGATGCTTTCTCAGAAAATTAAAAATAGAACTACCATATAATCTAGCAATGCCACTTCTGGGTATACATCCAAAAGAATTGGATACAAGATCTCAAAGAGATATTTTTCACACCCATGTTCATTGCAACATTATTCACAATAACAGGGAAGTAGAAGAAGCCTAAATGTACATCAACAGATGTATGTATAAAGAAAATGTGGTATAAATATATACATAGTGAAATACTGTTCAGTCTTAAAAAGGGAGGAAATCCTGTCACATGCTGGAACATGGATGAACCTTGAAGACATTATGCTAAGTGAAATGAGCTAGTCACAAAAAGATAAATATTGTATGATTCTTTTTTTTTAAAGATTTTATTTATTATTTGACAGAGAGGGAGAGAGCACAAGCAGGGGGAGCAGTAGAGGGAGAGGGAGAAGCAGACTCCCTGCTGAGCAGGGAGATGGATGTGGGACTCGATTCCAGAACCCTGGGATCATGACCTGAGCCAAAGGCAGATGCTTCACCAACTGAGCCACCCAGGAACCACATGCTGTATGATTCTTTTTTTTTTTTTTAAGATTTTATTTATTTATTTGACAGATACACAGTGAGAGAGAGAACACAAGCAGGGGCAGAGGGAGAGGGAGAAGCAGGCTTCCCGCGGAGTAGGGAGCCCGATGCGGGGCTCGATCCCAGGACCCCGGGATCATGACCTGAACCAAAGGCAGACGCTTAACGACTGAGCCACCCAGGCACCCCTGCTGTATGATTCTTATACAAGATATCTGAAGTAGCCAAATTCATAGAAACAGAAGGCAAAAGGTGGTTACTAGGGCTGAGGGGAGGGGATGAGGGAAGTTGTTGTTTAATAGGTATAAAGCTGGCTTGTCTTTTATCTCCTTTATATTAGTTATTTTTGCTGCATAAAAAATTATCACAAACTTATAGTTTAAAACAACACACATTTATTATCTCACATTTTACATCAGTCAGGAGTCTGGCTTGGGTTCACTAGGTCCTCCGGTCAGGGTCTCACCAGGCAGAAATCAATGTGTTACATTGATACAATGGCTACAATCTCATCTGAGACTTAGGGTCCTGGGGACTTAGGGTCCTCTTTGAAGCTCACTGTGGCTGTCCATAGAATTTAGGTCCTTGTGGTTTGTGATTAAAGTTGCGTTTCTTGCTTGCTATTAACTGAGGACTGTTCTTATTTCCTAGAGGCTGCTCTCAGGTCCTTGCCACATGGCACCCTATCATAAAATGACAGTTTGCTTTTTCTTCAAGGGACCAGGAAAACAACCGTCTGACAGTTCACCTTCTTTTAAAGGGCTCACTTGATTAGGGCAGGCCCATCCAAGATAATCTCCTTTTTTATTAATTCAAAGTCCAATTTGGTTATCTAATCATAGGAATGATACTCCATCATATTCGCTGGGCTCACATATACAAGGCATATACATTAAAGGGCAGGAATCTTTGGGACAATCTTAGAAATCTTACCGAGGGCGCCTGGGTGGCTCAGTCGGTTAAGCGTCTGCTTTCAGCTCAGGTCATGATCCCAGAGTCCTGGAATCGAGCCCCACATCGGGCTCCCTGCTCAGCGGGGAGTCTGCTTCTCCCTCTCCCTCTGCCTGCCGCTCTGCCTACTTGTGCTCTCTATCTCTCTGTCAAATAAATAAAATCTTTAAAAAAAAAAAAAGAATTCTTACCGAAACTTCTTCCTTTTATTGAAAGTCATCAAATACCAAGCAGGACTTGTGGCATAAAATAACCTTGGAGTGGAGAAAAAAAATTGTGTAATGATGTTTCTCTCTTTAATTGGACATAATGATAATAAGGTAGTTTATTCTCATTATTTATTCAAGTTTTGCTGGAGGAGAAATAAAAGGAAATAGGTTGGTTTGGCCCACTTAAAAATTAAGTAAGTGTTATGTTATTTATTTGTTCTCATTTCAAGTATTACATGTATTTTTAAATGTTTTCTATAAGCAGGGAAACACTTTTTAAACTTAAAAAATATTTTTTGTTGGATTAGTTTATGATTTCACATATAAATAAACTATATCCTTCTCCATGTTTAGTTAATGATATTTCTGAAATATGACACATTGTTAAAATAATATTCTTTCCAGTATTTATTTATTTATAAAAGATTTAATTTATTTATTTGTCAGAATAAGAGAGAGGGAGCACAGGCAGGGGGAGCGGCAGGCAAAGGGAGAAGCAGGCTCCCTGCTAAGCAAGGAGCCCGATGTGGGACTCAATCCCAGGACTCTGGGATCATGACCCGAGCTGAAGGCAGACCCTTAACCGACTGAACCACCCAGGCATCCCTCTTTCTCATATTTAAACCATATTTTCTAACAAATAAAAATTGGTACTCAAAACAATTTATATCCTTTGCAGATATATTCTTTTTAGAAATATTCTTTTATTTCCAAAAGTCAGAAATTTATACATTTTAAGTTTTGTTTAAAGTACCAACTATATGAGAAAAATCCATCTCTAATGTTTCTTATTCTATAGTTGCAATGTGTCCTGCAAAATGTTACTATTTCAACATGATGGAAAAAATACTAAAATAAAGATGGGACTAGATTGGGAATTTTTAAAACCATTTTGTTTCAGAAATTTTATATTAAAATGGATAAAGAAGTAAAGATTTAATGCCACAAAAGGCAATATGGAAAATTCAAAATTTTCCTTAACCCTTTCATGGCACACGTTATGTCACATATATTTAAGAGAAACTTACAAAGTAATAATAATAGTAATGACCATGCAACACAATATTCTATTGGAAATAGTATTGGCTTTTTAAGAAAAACCATGTTTTTTTGAAATATCATTCACATAACCATAAAATTCACCTATATCAGGTATACAATTAGTATAGTATAGTATATCCACAGAGTTGCGCAACCATCACCATAATCTAAGTTTGGAACATTTTCATGTTCTAAAAAAGAAACTCCTTTTTTTAAAAAAAGTTTTATTTATTTAAGTAATCTCTACACCCCACCTAGGGCTCACACTCATGACCCCAAGATTAAGAGTCACCTGCTATTCTGACTGAGCCAGGCAGGCTCAGTTTCAGGCTCAGTTTCTAAAAAAGAAACTCCTTACCCATTAACAGTCACTCCCTATTCCACCCTGCCTTAGTCCTAGGCGACCACTAATCTACATTCTGTCTCTACAGATATGCCTATCTATTTT